TTCGTGCCCACCGCCACTAAGGCTCACTACTGCAACTCTTGCACCCGACACGCTGTCTTTTGCGATTTACGCCTGTCCCTCTACATATGCCTGATCGCCCGCACCTTCCGACCTTTGGACCAGCTCGCACACACTCACCTGCCCCAATTTGCCCTAACCCGCCCTCAACTGCAACAGCCTCCCCCTGCATCCGCCCCCCACCCACCCCAACAGGACGCCCTCACCCGCGACGACCTGGCCACCCTGCTGCGCGCCTTCAAGGCCCTCGACCCCGACGGCACCGGCTACGTCACCGCCGAGAAGCTGCGCGCCCTGCTGACGTCATCGCCGCCGGACGGGGAGGGCCTGACCGAGGCGGAGGCGGCGGAGGCGCTGGCTTTCGCGGCGGGCGGCAGGAGGCGCGGCGGGGGTGACGGCGCTGCAGTTTCAAATGGGCTGATAGATTATGAGGCGTATGCAATGAAGCTTGCTGCGGACGGGCGGGAGCTGTGAACGCTTTGAAGGCGTTTAGCCGGGGTTGACCGGGGTTGACCGGGGTTGACTGGGGTTGGCCGGGATTGACCAGAGTTGACAAGTTCTCGCCGAGGCCTGTGCATCATGACTGTAAATATCAAACCTGTGGGCTGGACAGCTTGGCAAGCGGCATACTTTGATCTTGCTTACTACTCCGCCTGTGGCCGGCTGCATGGCGCGAGGCGAGGCGCCTCGCTCGCATGGCTGCGGGCAGGACGGCCGCGACCAGATCATCCCCCGTCGAGCCCGCCGAGTGTCTCGGCCAAAACACTATCAAAACAACACTCCATCGTTTCATGGGTCGAAACACCATCAGTCCAGATCATATCAGACCAAACATCAGATCATATCACGGCCATCACCAAGAACGGCCCGTCCCTCTCCAACCCCTCCCTCACGAGCTCGGCCAGCCGCCCCACCGTCCCCGCCCGGCCGCCCGGCACCCCCATCCCCGCGGCCAGCGCCACCCAGTCGATCTCGGGGTCGCCCAGTGACGTCAGCGCGACTGACGCTGGCGGGCGCCTCGCTGCCGGCGGCGCGGCCGGGCCGGTGGTCGGGGCGGCGG